TGACAGCAAAAGAGTGAAAACAACATAAATGCCCAATATTAGGAAACTAGTCAAGCAAATCAGGGTGTGTTAATGCCAGGTGTAATAGTGTTGATCAGTATTTGTTAGCATGAAAGAGTATTGACAATTACTCTTTGACTGTTGAGTTTTACTGTTTTACTTAACAGTAAAAAAAAAAGTAGGTTTTAAAATATTCTGAAATCATCCCATTTTGTGATTTTTAAAAGTTTGTAAATATATCTATGAAATCATTATGGCTATTTTTAGGCAATAAGATTTTAGATTGGCCTTACCCATCTTCCTTATGCATTAACATTAACAAATACATAACATTAACAAATCTTTATACAAGTGTGCATCATTTGTTTAATGAGAAAAATTTACACACATTAAAATTATAATTGCAAATAATTATGATATATATATATCATAACAGGAGTAAAATCAGGTCCCAGCAATCAAGAGGATTGCTAAGCTCTAGAAATGGGCACCCTATGTATTGAAATAATAGACTGAAATTCTCTTCTGAGCCTGCGCAATATAATCTATTCGATTGGGTACTTGTTAAATATATATATATTCATAAATATATATTTTTTTTTTCAGTGCTCCCCGGAAAATGTACAGCAGCAAAAAATCTTTACATGAAACTTATATTGGCATGTAACATAGCTGAGCCTTGGGCCTCCTCCAGACCCATGGAATTCATGCAAGGTTTCCCTCATCCCAGGCCATGAGGCTGGGCTTGGGCCCAGACTTTCCCCAAAGGTACATCCTTTGGTAGCTGAGCTTTATATTTTAAGTTCGATAAACTCAGCGGGTTTGAATCATCATAAGAAATTGGGGTTATGAACTGTCTTGCATCTATCATCTCATACCTGGTGTTCCAGCCAGATTGAAATTCACACCATTGGCATGTACTGCACTTGCCGTGCATTTGTTTATGCTGGGCCTTCCACCTGGAAGACGCTTCCCCCTCACTCCTTCTCCCAGTACCAGTTGGCTTACCTCTAAAGGCCTCATTTAAATGCTTCCTACC